AGAGAAAAGGAATATCAAAGGGAGTCCAAATGGAATAAAAATTTCGTGATGATTTTTCTTGGACCAGAAGACATCCAGCAGACTTGGAGAGGGGGCCAGGAGTTGCCCGAGGAGTCCACAAGCCTGCTAGGCGTGCCCCGAGGGGTGCCCTGAGGACTTGTAGGCCCCTCATAGGCCTCCTAAACCTAATTCTTGCACTATAAATTTCCAAATATTCCCAAACCACCAGAAGTATCCACAAATATACTTTTTTGCTGCCGTAACTAGGGATGAAAATGGAGTGGACAATTTCCGCTTTTTCGGAGGGAAAATGGAAATGAAGAGGAAATATGAAAGCGAAAACGGAAATTTGCAAGACGGAAATGGAAATGGATTTTTTTTATGCGGAAACGGAAACAAAAACGGAATGGTGTTTTCCGGTGGAACACACGTGGAAACGGAACTTTCCGTTTCTGTTAATATGGAATTTCCGTTTCTACTATAGGCTCATGGCTGCTTTGTAACCTAACTACCAAACAATACACAATGACACAATGAGTAAAATGAGCAGAATGTATTATTTGAGTACCAAGTTTTACTACTACACACATACTCAACTAGACCGTATACGGAATTGTCATGTACTACTACAATACTACCCTATTATGCCAACACAGCCATATTATTTTGTAGCCTTGTTAACAATTCCATCAATTTGTTTGTTTTTTGTCTGTATTTCTCTATGATTCAAGGGGGTTTTAAGTTCCGGTCAACAAATAGTTTCATTTCCGTGTCCGCTCTGTATTTGCTCCGTGTTTGTTTCCGGTAGTATATGTTTCCGTATGTTTTCGGGGTTTTTGTATTCGTTTCTGCTTCTGCAAAAAAATATGAAACCAAATATGGTAGCACCCAGTTCCGTCCGTTTCCGCGTCGTTTTCATCCCTAGCCGTAACCTTATGTTCCCATGAGATCCTATCTTGGGGCCTTTTCCGGCACCCTACCGGAGGGGAATTCGATCACGGAAGGGGATTCTACATCAACTCTATTACCCTTCCGATGAAGAGTGGGTAGTTTACCACCGACCTACGGGTCCATAGCTAGTAGCTAGATGGCTTCTTCTCTCTCTTTTGTCTTCAATACAATGTTCTCCTCGATTTTCTTGGAGTTCTATCCGATGTAATATTCTTTTCTGGTGTGTTTGTCAAGATCCAATGAATTGTGGATGTATGATCAGATTATCTATGAATATTATTTGAGTCTTTTCTGAATTCTTATATGCATGATTTGATATCTTTGTATTTCTCTTTAAATTATCGATTTGGTTTGGCCAACTAGATTGGTTCTTCCTGCAATGGGAGAGGTGCTTAGTATTGGGTTCAATCTTGTGGTGTCCTCGCCTAGTGACAAAGTAGGAGTAGCGAGGCACGTATTGTATTGTTGCCATCACGGGTAAAAGGATGGGGTTTTCATCATATTGCTTGAGTTTATCCCTCTACATCATGTCATCTTACTTAAGGTGTTACTCCATTCTTATGAACTTAATACTCTAGATGCATGAAGGATAACGGTTGATGTGTGGAGTAATAGTAGTAGATGCAGGCAGGAGTTGTTCTACTTGACACGGACGTGATGCCTATATTCATAATCATTGCCTTGGATATCGTCATAACTTTGCGCTTTTTTATCAATTGCTCGACACTAATTTGTTCACCCACCATATGTTTTCTTTCAAGAGAGAAGCCTTTAGTGAAACCTATGGCCCCCGGGTCTATTTGCCATCATATATTTTCAGATCTATAAAATCAAAAACCCCAAAATACCTTGCTGCAATTTATTTACGTTTACTTTGTTTTATGTTTTAGTAATCTTTTATATCTATCTCTATCAGATCTCATCCTTGCAAGTGACCGTGAAGGGATTGACAACCCCTTTATTGCGTTGGGTGCAAGTGTTTGATTGTTTGTGCAGATGCATAGATTGGAGACTTGCGTGTACCTCCTACTGGATTGATATCTTGGTTCTCAAACTGAGGGAAATACTTATCTCTACTTTGCTGCATCACCCTTTTCTTTTTAAGGGGAAAACCAATGCTAACTCAAGAAGTAGAAGAGCCCACTCCGCCTTAGATAACCCAGGGACATCATCTAACAAACCGAATTCCTGGATCTTACCAAGTAAAGCGGTCTTTCTTGACTTAAGGGTACCACCAAGGTTAGATCATCTACAGCCGGGCGCCCTATATCCGTCTCATACGTCCGGGCAGGCCGTCCGGTCACTGCCCAGTCACAAAATACCGACCCAACCGGAGCTCTCAAATAGGCCTGAAACGCCCGGGCTGACCGGCACCCCTCATATCCATCCCAAATGTAGGGTGGATATGAGGCGGCCCGGGCACGCATGGGCGCGCCCGCCACGTCTGCCTGACCCACCGCTAGCCCACCTCTGCTCCAGAAAAAATCCCGTCTGGTAGAAACCCTAGATCACTCTGCTCCCCTCCCCGACGCTCTCATTTCCCCAATCTACCAAATCCCTCGCGCCGACGAGCATGTCCAGCACCGGCAGCCACTCTGACAGCAGCTCCAGAGATTAGGAGGAGCTGGCGCTCCATATCGCGCTCGAACGCTCGCGGGTCGATACGGGCGGCAGCTCCGGCTCCGGTGCGACGCCCCCTGTCACCCGTCGCGGCAGTGCCGATGCGGCACCAGCCCTTCCCGCCTCGCGTGTGGATCTGCGAGGCATGCTCGATCTGCTCCTCCCGCCCAACGGCCTGCTCCACCTCCAGCCGCTGCTCCGCGCGGGAAGCGCTGGGTTCTAGTGCCCGCTCAATCTACGCCGCGGATGTGGACTCCGGAGTCGGAGGCACGAGCTGCCCGCCGCGAGAGGCAGAGGGCAAGGGAGATGGCGGGCGGGTCCGACGGGTCTGCACAGTCCACCTGCCGCCGTCGGGTGCCCGACAAGAACGACTGTCTCTTCGAGTGGGCGTGCCGCCGGTCACTGATTAAGGCGGAGACGAAGGCCCGACGGCTCTGGAGGCTCAACGCCAAGCAGCTCCGGCTTGGCATTGAGCAATCCGAGCGGGAGGCGGCGGAGGCAGTGAGGGAGGCGGCGAGGGTGGCCAAGCTCAAGCGCAAGCAAGACCACGTTGTTCGACGCTTGCAAGGTTTCATCGTCATCTCCGATTCCTCCTCCTCCTACGGGTCCGGCGGCTCCAACGTGGACCCGCCTCCTGCCGTGGACTCCTACAGCTGCGCCAGCGACCGGAAGGGCAAAGGGCCGGCGAGGAAGTGGTGAAGATCCATCTTTATTTCAAGTTTTTAGTTGTAGTTTGAACTTGTCCGGCGTATTATGTGTATTATGTGAACTTTGGCTATCTTTCGATGATCCGGATGTGATCTTCTGATTAACCGACTGTGCATTTGTATGTCCACTCATGATCTACATAGTTTTTATTAATGTTGCATGGTTTAATATGAATATAGGCGACAAAATATGAGATACGTGGATGTGAAGACACGGATATAGAAAGTGCCTGATCAATGCCCGCGGACGCGTCTGCGGGCATTTGAGCGGCCGGATTTGCTGAGTCCGGCTGTAGATGCTCTTAACACCGCACCCTCTAGGGTGGTGCCGCAGCCTCCTAATGCAATGCTGCCATCGATTCATTGCATCTGTCAAGGGACCAAAAGGATGGCTGCAAGCCAAAACCCATTTCTCCCGCACAACGTCCACGAAACCTGGGCCAACAAAGCGTTGAGGTCTGAATCTACCAAAGTTAACAACAGCACCTTTCGCTTGGTGTGAGCAGTGGACCAACAAAGTGGCACAGCAAGTCTTAAAGTCTTGCTCGCTCCGGTCATTACGAGGGTGAAAGAAATGGGGAATCTCGTTCGGTCGTTCCGCTTTCCCAGTTGGGTCAATTGCCAAGACAAAAGTTCAGCGGACCTTCTGTCCACATTGCAACACTTTCAGGGTCACACTCCACTTTCTGAAGCTTCTGGACACCAACCCTGAATTCCCTGATACACTACCCAAATTGTCACGGAAAATGCTCAAAACAGAAGGGAAAAAAACTGTTTCTATGCCAGTGAGTTCTTTTCTTTTCTTGACATAGGAATTAATCAAAGGGAAAAAACCAATCACGTGTACTCAATTCGCCATGGATCTCACTTTGTCACCATCTGCACGAAGCTTTGTGCCACAGTGTGTACGCACTGTCACCATAACTACAAAAATCCAACGGCGGCCGGCCTTCTCGAAGAACATTTCAGCTAGCAGTATGTACACAACAACAAAAGAGCACCATCAACCTCATCGCGGCTCGACGACGGTGATGGAGACGTCGTTGATGGACTGGGGCGAGAAGGTGGACTCGGTCTTGGTGGAGAAGGGGATCATCGCCGCCGGGAAGGTCCTCAGCCTGGTGAACATGGGCGGCCTGGCCGGCGCGGGGAGGTTCATGTGGTCGCTGATGAGCATGAGCAGGACGCTGGACATGGTCGGGCGGAGCTCCGGGTCGTCCTGCACGCAGAGGAGCCCCACGTGGAAGCACCGCCACGCCTCCTCCTTGGAGTAGGCCCGCCCCAGCGCCGGGTCCATGAACTCGGCCGCCTTCTCCTCAGTCCAGCTCTTCCATGCCTGCACCAACACAGAGCAGCAGCTCAGTGCTCAAACTTACTATAGTAGATAATGGTAGTGAAAATAATACTACTGTACTAGAGTTCTTGAGAGACTGTACGTACGTCTTGGATGAGCGTCTGCTCGTGCTCCTCGAGGTAGAGCGCGCCGTTCCGCTTGCCGCCGAGGATCTCGATCAGCAGGACCCCGAAGCTGAACACGTCGGACTTCACCGAGAACACGCCCTCCATCACGAACTCCGGCGCCATGTACCCGCTGCATTGCATGGGGACCGGAATTCAGGTGAGTAAACATGCATGCAGTACGGCCGGCCAATTACTGGAGCACACACTACACAGTCCTGCGGTCGTGTGGTCGCTTACTAGGTTCCGACGACGCGGCCGGTGTTAACCTCGATGCACTCGTCCTCGAAGATCTTGGCCATGCCGAAGTCGGAGATCTTGGGCCTCATCTTGTTGTCGAGGAGCACGTTGCTGGCCTTGAGGTCCCGGTGGACGACCTTGAGCAGCGAGTCCTCGTGCAGGTAGAGCAGCCCGCGGGCGATGCCCAGGATGATGCTGTGCCGGGTTTTCCAGTCCAGCTGCGCGCTCTTGCTTGCGTCTAATCAACAAAGTGGTATTAGTAACAATTAATTAATCAAAACTCTGAGTGATCAGGGATTGACCAACACAGCAAAGCGTACTCTGCACATCATGTAGAGATCACTAGCAGCAACTAATTAATTAATGATCTCGTTTTCCAGCCGGAAAACTTGGGGCGCAGTTAGTACCATGTGGCGTGCAGGTCGCTCGCAGTGCGCATCAAGCGATAATTATCCGGCCACTTACAGGTTACCATCCATCAGTACGTACGTCGCCAGTCGGTTAATCAATGTAGAGATTGCTCGATTTAATTGCGCGGTCCATGGATCGCCGGGCAGTAGGCACTGCACCGGCTGGCCCCCATTAACCAAACGAGGAACTTAATGGCGCGACGCCGCAGGTTTCAACCACCGCTCCTCCTCGAGCTCGTTTCTTTCCAAGCTACCAACCGAAATGGATTAGACGGATGAAAAGGGGGTAACGTAACGCACCGAAGAGGAAGGCGTCGAGGCTGCGGTTGGGGAGGTACTCGTACACCAGCAGCTTCTCGTCGCGCTCGGCGCACCAGCCCAGCAGCCGCACCAGGTTGCGGTGCTGCAGCTTGGCGATCAGCTCCACCTCGTTCCGGAACTCCGCCGCGCCCTGCCGCGACCGCGCCGACAGCCGCTTCACCGCGATCTCAGACCCGCCGGTCAGCACGCCCTTTGGTTGGTTGGTTCACATACATGCCAATCAAAGCTCGGTTCAATTTCACCGCAGAAATGGCGGGAAAGGTTCTAGCTAAGAGGCCACTCAAGTTGCAGACCAGATGATTCTTGATCAATACTAGTACGTATACTAATCAACTGTTGTAAAATGTAAATTACGTACTCTGTAGACAGGGCCGAAGCCGCCCTCGCCGAGCTTGTTGGCCTTGGAAAAGTTGTCGGTGGCGGCGTGGATGGAGGCGAGGTCCATGAGCGGCAGGTCCGAGCTCGACATCGGCCTCAGGCTCTGGAGCAGCGATCTCCTCACGGCTGAAGAGCGACCAACACAAACAAGATTCGCATTCCTACTTCACTCCCAGTACGTAAAGTACCCAAGAAGAAGCAAAACCGGTTCAGTCAGAGACGGAGGATCACGTACCGTTGCGCTTCCGCCAGCGCCAGCAGTAGATGCAGTAGAAGAGCGTGCAGAAGATGACCACCACCAGCACGGACACCATTATCTTCATCGCCTCCTGGCTCGACCCGCGCCCCGCAGCCGCCTCGCCGTCGCCCGACGGCGCCGGGGACGACGACGCCGGTGCGCCCATGAGCCGGCGGTGCCAAGCGCGCGGCGACGCCATGCGCTGCTCCGGCGGAGGAAGGTCTCTGATGGTGATTGCCTGACGAACCTTGACGTGGTGAAAAGGGAGGAGGAGGTGGAGGAGGAGAAAGACGTGAGAATGGCGGGGACGGGGAGTGGGAGTGAGTGAGACGATGGTGGCTGCGGCCGGCTGAAAGGTTCTACTAGTAGCAGCAGCAGTTGCCAAATGTCCACCTACCGGATCTTTGTTTTTCCTTCTTCCGGCACCGGCAGTCGGCAGAGCGTTCGACGCAGCAACACCGCAGTTATTATCCTGGCTAAAGGCCACGGTTGCAGTGGAAAGTATCATTATCCTCTTCTTTTTGCTTACCTCCACAAGGTAAAAACCGTAGGAGGTTCCGTGAGTTGGCAGTAAATCTTAGGAGGTTCCATGAACTGGTAGTACGATGCAAGTAATGAAGTGGGGTAGAACCAGTCATGTTCACGATAGATTAGTCTACCTGTCCCAATTAAGCCACTGATGAGCTTTCATTAAGTCAGTTAGGTCTTAGTGGGATGTTGAGAGGCAAGTATCCAGCTATTTACTACTCCACCATGCCTTGTTATGAACAGATCACAAATTCCACAGTTATCAAAAATACAAAGAACCACCTCTCAAAATAACATTCTTGAAGGGACATTGCTTCGAATGGTTGGTTATCTCATAATCCTTTTTGAAGTGATTGGTTTTCTCATAATCAATGTCGTAATGGATGCTTTATTTTTAAGAAACACCGCTAAAACGTAGAGGTGTGCGCTCACACACAAACACACCCACGGTGTCTACTGATGAGTGTCTACTGATGACAAAGTCGCCAATAGCGCCTGCTATTGACAAGAACGCCGCCTCCTGCTGGAAAAATAATCCAGTTTTAGAGACACAGAGTGCGTCAAACCGGTCTTTGATCTTGGGATGGGGTTGCCAGCCATAGGTGAGTTGTTTTTAACCATGTCGTGTAAAAACAGAAGCAAATTTGTTTTTACAAAAATATACATACAAATGCTATCAGAACTGGTGAACTATAAGTAAAGTGTATTGTTTCAAAGGGAAAATAAATCCTATTTAGACCCTGGACTGTGGTGTATGGTCTAAAATGAAGCCCTAAAAATGGAACCTTAAACTTTCAACTTGTGCTGTTGTAGTACAAACAAATATGCCTCTATAATCCATAAGTTTTAAGAAAGAAACAAGCAATCTCTACATTCTACATAAAATTTGCAATATTGGTACAAAAAATGTGTGCCTAGAATCGATGAGTTTCAAGAAGAAGAAAAAACAAGGGATTGCTACATTCTACATAGCAGGGGTGTTAGCGTGAACTATTTCAAGCTTGTCAGAAAATAGGCTAGATGAAAACGGTATATTATAAGCGCACATTACATAACAAAGAGAACTAAACAGTACAAAAGCACATGAGATAATGTATCAATCAGTGATTTGAGGCCCGAACCGGAAACATCAACTTTTGTCTTCCAAAAAAAACAAATAGCAAGAATGCTAACACATCATTATAGATAATGTATCCATACCACTGCGAGTGCGGCGTTTCTGCTCCCGGGCTCAGCTGCACCCGCGCAGACGAAAAAATCAAAACAAATACTAGAAAAATTCAAAAAATTCAAAAAGAAAATTGGGTGGTAGATAATTTGATGTGTGAGGTTCGCTGCAAATTTCAACTCATTTGTACATTTAAGAAGCTCTCTGCAAAAAAGAAAAAATCAAGGTTTGTAAAAAAGTTTACTGTTCACACACTGCTTTGATCCAATTTGTCTTTTTTGCTGAGAGCTGCTCAGATATTCAAATGAGTTCAAATTTGAAGCGAACCTCACGCATCAAATTATCTACCACACAAAAAATTGAATTTTTTTAAATCTTTCTAGTATTTGTTTTGATTTTTTTTTAACCGGGAGCAGATGAGCCTGGGCACCGATTTGGATTTTTGTACCACTGCCATCTACTCCAGATTCTAGTCTTATATAACAAAAAAGAAGCACCCTCAGTTTCCCAAGTGCATATATGATAATATGTTCATGGTACTGCAGGTCACATCACTTTAGCTAAACAAAAACATGGTTTCCAAGACGAAAGACGCACAACAATTTTGGGACAGTTATGCATCCTGAAATGAAATAACACAAGATTGAGTAGACGCACATGGATATGAACCTGCTCTTTGTGCTTGATGCAGATAACCTGTATAGCAAAGACTCTTCCAGGTATGACCATTAGAAAAACGCAGAACCATCTCTAGTTAATCAGCGAGTTTCAAGAAACAAAGAAAAAACAATTGTTACATTCTACATAGCAAGGGTGCCACAAAGATAATTGTATCATCAGCGTACTGAAGGATGGATACACCTCTATCAACAAGATAAGGTACCAATCCACCTACTTGACCATTTTCCTTAGCCCTTCCTATCAAAATTGCTAACATCTCCACCACAATGTTAAACAGGATAGGGGACATCGGATCTCCTTGTCTTAGGCCTTTATGTGTCTGGAAGTAATAACCTATGTCATCATTAACTTTAATTCCCACACTACCTTTTTGCGTAAATGATTCAATCTGTCGGCGTCAGGCTTCATCAAAACCTTTCATACGCAATGACTGTTGGAGGAATGGTCATTTGACCTTATTGTACGCTTTCTTAAAATCCACCTTAAAGATTACTCCATCTAATTTTTTGGTATAGATTTCATGGAGCGTTTCATGCAGGACGACCACCCCTTCAAGGATATTTCTGTCCGGCATGAAAGCAGTTTGGGACTGTTGCACCACAGAATGCGCAATCTGTGTGAGCCTATTAGTCCCAACCTTGGTGAAAATTTTGAAACTAACATTGAGGAGGCAGATCGACCTGAATTGCTCAATTCTCACAACATCCGTTTTCTTAGGAAGCAGTGTGATAGTTCCAAAATTCAAGTGAAATAATTGAAGCTGTCTAGAGAACAGATCATGGAACATAGATAGCAAATCCCCCTTAATAATGTGCCAGCACTTTTTATAGAACTCGGCCGGGAATCCATCCGTTCCGGGAGCCTTATTGTTTTTCATCTGTGCAACAGCATCAAACACCTCCTTCTCTGAGAACGGGGCACCGAGAATATCATTTTCGGCAGCCGATAGCTGAGGCACATCCTCAATCCTGGACTCATCGAGGGACACACAATTATCCTCCGGAGGTCCAAATAACTGCTTGTAATACTCGGTAATATATGTTTTTAGGTTATCCTGTCCTAAAATAGTGCCCTCATCTTGTTCAAGCCGAAAGATACGCTTCTTTCTGTGCTTACCATTAGCTATCAAATGAAAGAATTGAGTATTCGCGTCCCCTTGGACCACTTTGCGGACTTTAGCACGCAAATCCCACTTGAATTCTTCTTCGCGGAGCAGTTCTTTCAACCTCTTCTCCGCCTCATTTTTAACCAGAAGCTCAGCTGGCATTAAAACAGTGGATTCGGCCTTTATGTCCAGGGCATGTATAAGAGAAAGAAGTCTATCCTTTTCAATCTTATACACACCACTGAGGTGCTTAGCCCAACCCCGTAAGAAACTTCTCAAATGCCTAATCTTATTCTGCCAACGCTCGATCGCAGTCGTGCCTCCTGCACCTCTATCCCATTCCCTGGCAATCAAGTCCAAGAACCCCTCGCGTTCAAACCAAGACATCTCGAAATAAAAGGTGTTCTTGTTACCCATGTGGTTCGGCTCCCCTGAGTCCACGAACAAGGGTGTGTGATCGGGTATTCCCCTCGAGAGAGCTTGCACCGTAACCAGAGGGAACTTTTGTTCCCACTCCACGCTCACAAGAACTCGATCAAGTTTTTCATAAGTTGGGTTTGGCAGAGCATTAGCCCAGGTAAACTTTCTACCAGAAAGCTCTATCTCCCTCAGATCCAAGCTTTCAATAATGGTATTGAACATAAACGACCATCTGCCGTCAAAGTTATCATTGTTCTTCTCCTCTCTCCTCCTGATGATATTGAAATCACCTCCAACTAAAATTGGAAGCTGTTCTGACCCACAGATTCGAACAAGGTCCGCCAGAAACTCCGGTTTAAGCTCGGGCTGTGCGGCACCATAAACCGCCACCAAAGCCCAGTTAAAACCATCTATCTTAGACCTGACTCGAAACTTCACCGCGAAGTCTCCCATCACTACACTTCGGACTTCAAGCGAATCGCATCTCACACCGAGTAAGATACCACCCAATCTTCCTCGCGGGGGGAGGCAATGCCAATCGAAATCAATACCACCCACAAGAGAAGAAAGAAACTGGGGCGCAAAGTTTTCTCTACCAGTCTCCGATAGAGCAACAAATCTAACTTCTGCTCTAAAGCTGCCTCAGCAAGGAACCTTCTTTTAGCCAAGTCCTTGAGACCTCTGCTATTCCAAAAGATGCCTCTCATATTTCATCATGGAATTTTTTAGTGATTCGAATCCTAGCACTCCTACGAACTGCGGTATCAGGATAGATCTTCCGTTTCCACTTACGTTTTGGTTTACTAGGCTCTGACGCTCGGTCCTCATAACCGGGTGCACTAATACTAGCAGTATCCTTCTCTAGGGGTACATCATCGTCCTCAGACTCATGATTTGGGGGTGCTAGATCCGCACACAGATTATCGAGCACTCTAACCCCTAACGCATCAATCTCATCATCATTCATTGGTTTAACCGCTGCAAGATTATCGAGCATGACTTGGCCAAGGCGAGAAATATGAAGCTTGTGTTATGCCTATTTGAACAATTGACCAGGTTAAAGATTAACTTTCATAAGAGCGAGCTGTTCTGTTTTGGTAGAGCCAAAGACGAACAGGAGGCTTATAGGCAATTGTTTGGGTGCGAGTTGGGAGAGTTAGCCTTCTCTTACCTGGGTATTCCAATCCACCATCGTAGGCTGACAAACAAAGGTAAGCTCATGTCATACGGAGGCCGATTAATCCTCATTAATTCGGTGCTCACGAGTATGCCTATGTTTCTCCTATCGTTCTTTGAGGTCCCAGTTGGTGTTAGGTAGAGACTGGACTTCTATCGATCGCGTTTCTTTTGGCAGGGTGATGAGCTTAAACGAAAATATCGGCTTGCTAAATGGGACATCATCTGTAGACCGAAAGACCAAGGGGGTCTCGGTATTGAGAATCTAGAAGTTAAGAATAGATGCCTTCTTAGCAAGTGGCTGTGGAAGCTCTCAACGGAGAATGATGCCATGTGGGCTCAAATCCTTCGTAGCAAGTACCTCCAGACAAAAACTTTGTCCCAGGTTACAGTCAGGCCGACCGATTCACCTTTCTGGAAAGGTCTGATGAAAGTCAATCAATCTTTGTTTAATAGGATGAAGTTTGTTATTGGAAATGGCTCTAGTACACGTTTCTGGGAGGATACTTGGCTCGACGAGACACCCTTGGCCATCCAATATCCGTCTTTGTACCGTATTGTTCAACGACGTGAGGTGTTCGTCGCATCGGTATTTCAATCTATCCCCCTTAATATTCAGTTCCGATGGACGCTAGCGGGCAATCGTTGGGAAGAATGGCTCCGTCTAGTTAGGAGACTGATGGAGGTCCAGCTTTCTCAACAACCCGATGAATTACGCTGGAAATTGACTAAGTCTGGAGTATTCACTGTTAAATCAATGTATATTGATGTTATTAATTCGAACTCCATTCCTACCTCCAAGCATGTTTGGGATGTCAAAGTTCTTTTGAAAATAAAAGTGTTTATGTGGTTTGTCCATAAACAAGTTATTTTAACCAAGGACAATTTGATAAAGCGTAATTGGACAGGACCTACTAGGTGTAGTTTCTGTGATCGGGGTGAGACAATCAAACACCTCTTTTTTGATTGCCCGTTGGCCAAAGTACTTTGGCAGACGGTCCACATCGCTTTTAATATCAATCCACCGAATTCTGTTAACGCGTTATTTGGGACATGGCTTAATCGGATTGAGCCTGACTTAGTGAGACACATTCGGGTTGGAGTTTGTGCTTTGCTGTGGACTATCTGGACTTGCAGAAATGATTTGGTTTTTAACAGAATATCATGTATCCATTTTTTGCAGGTTTTATTCCGAACTACGACACTGATCCGTTCGTGGTCACTACTCACCCTGACGGAGGCCAGGGAGCATTTGGTTACTGGGTCTTTCCGCTGGGAGATGGTAACTCGGGATATCTTCAACCGGTTTGGATGGCGGTCATGTAATAGGATAGGCATGTAGTTTACCTATCTAGTTTTAGCCAGCCGGTTGTGGCGTCTATTCATGGCTAGTGGGTGTTTCTAGCCCTTTTTGGCTCTGTGTGAGCTTGCTTTGCTTTTTTATTACTTTTGGAGACCTTGGAACCATGTTGGCACTGCTTTATTTGGTTAATAAGATGGCCGTATGCATCACTCTGATGCAGAAGCCGGGGAATCCCCTTTTCGAAAAAAACATAGCAAGGGTGTTATCTTGAACTGTTTCAAGCTTGATGCAAAATAAGCTAGAAGAAAGAATTAAATAAGCAGACAGTACATACAAAGAGAACTAAACGGTGCAAAAGTACTTCAGATAAAATAGTTGTGGTCTCCTTGTTTGGGCATCACCAAAGGAGAGAGAATGATTGAATGAGAAGGAACGAGACTGAGGCAATGAAGGTGTGGACTCGGTTCAGATTCAGAGCCCGAACCTGAAAGATCAATTTTTGTCTTCCAAAAGAACAAAATAGCGAGAATGCTAACACATAATTGAATCAAGCTAGATTATAATCTGATATAACAAAAAAGAAGCACAAATAATTTCTCAAAGTGCATATATGACAAAAACATGGTCTTTGAGCTGAAGGGTGCACAACAAGTTTAGGACAATTATACATCCTGGACCGATAACACAATATTGAGTAGATATACTATAAATAGATAGATATGGACTGAACCCACTGCTCTTTGTGCTGGATGCTGGTAAAGCTACGGGATAACATGCACAACAAAGACTCTTTCAGCAGGTGTAACCACTAGAAAATCGAAGAAACAACTCGTTGATCAGTGCAGATTCTACTTACACTTACGTGTGCTCCCCTCCACACTTCACTCCTCGGCTCCTAGTCCTACGTCTGTGTTGAAACACATGATTTTCCCACTGTTCCAGAAAAGGCGCTGGCAGCAGGTTGCGACGTGGAGGACAAGGCTGTACGGCCTAGGCATGGGTCCATCGAGAAAGGAATTATTTACCCAAAACCACTATACTTGAGGCCAGGGTAATAACTTAATATCAGATTTGAACCAGATCATAAAAAACCACCAACTATGTGGCTAGTGCGTAACGCAGAGCACTGACGCTCGCATTTGTCCGCGAAAACAGCGAAACCGACAGATGGGGCCCGCCTGTCGGGCTGGCGTGGCGAAGACCAAAAAGTTTGACCGACTGATGTGACAAATAATACACGGGGCCCACCTGTCAATGAGTAAACAGTCATCTTCTTCACATCTCAGTTTGTATTGGGCGTTTCATCAAACAGCTTCTAGCCGGCCATCCGGGAGCTCTTTCTTGCAGGCATGACGATGAGTTTGACGGGGCCGGAGCACGGGGCGGAGTGCGGTCACCAGGGAAGGCCGCTCGGACGTGAAGCCAGCGGCTTGTCGGGCTTCAAGCTGCCGGCGAGGACGGCTCAGCGGTCGGCTGGACATGCCCTCCAGCACAGGCGCGACAAGGGGCTCCGTGCTCACCGCCGTAGCGTCACCAGCCGCCGTGCGCAGCAGTCCAGCGTGTCGTAGCGTCGCCAGCCGCCGCACACAAGCTTCATGCACCGCCCCGGCAGTGCGCGCTACGCCGTGGACCACGAGCTGACGAACACCTCTGACGATGCAAGGTCGCTCGCGCCCAGAGCGAGCTCGCCATGGAGATGCTTGCCTGCAGGTGGTCGTCGCCCATCCGCCGCAGCGACCTTGCTGCAGTCACCGCCTTGCCACTGGCCACCGGCGTGCGCACGCACGCCCGAGCTCCGGGAGGTGGTGTCGGGGGCTCATGGGGAGTGGCAGCAGCTTGTCTGCCTCATGGCGTGCCGGGGGGAGCTAGGTGAGCGCCGGAACCAGCGAGCCGCCGCGCACACGCCAGGTCCCACCTGCGTGCATGCCACGGCTAGCGGCGGCTGCAGGCATGCGTGTGTGTCCGTGGCCAGGGCAGCCCCATGTACGCGCAGGGGCTCGACTGCACGCCGACCGGAGCGACGGCGGCCTCCTCACGGCGCGCCCAACACCACGACGGTGCTCACCCCGTGCCTCTAGTCGCGGGACTCCGTCCGCCCACAAGTTGTTCGATGTAATGTCCACAAGAAAGAGATGTGAAGAAGCGGAAGAAATAAAAAAGAAAAAGTAAAAAAAATAGTTGAGTCATTGACATGTGGGACCTTTATCCAACTCACCATATTGTCCACGTAAGCACGCCACGTCATCCCGATAGGCGGGCCCCACCTGTCGGTTTTGCTGTTTTCACAGCCAAATCCGAGCGTCAGTGCTCCGCGTTACGCATTAGGCACAATTTTGGTGGTTTTTTGTAACTTGGTTCAAATTTGGTATTAAGTTGTTACCCTAGCCTCAAGTGTGGTGGTTTTGGGTAAATAACTCTCGAGAAAGTGTCCGTCAAACCCCTGTGACCAGGTACCGCTGCCAAGATCGTATAGCGGTAGAGTTCCCCTGCCTGCAAGACCACCACCTATTTCATTGAAAATGGTGATGGAGTTCCCCTGGACGGATGGCAGGCTCTTGGAGTTAACAACCATGTTCCGTCCGCCGATGAAGATGGCTTGATCACCGATGCTTGTCAGTTGCATGGTGGTGACTCCCTTTAGAAGGTCAGCAACCCAGAAAAGCACAATCCTTGAGTGTCTATTGTCATAGCCAACCAAAAGCAGCTCGGAGTTGCACTCTGCCAGTTGAGGCATCCTCAACAGTTCCACTGGACATTGGGTGACCATTTGCGGTGGTATCACTGACCATGAGGAGGGGTTGGAATCTTCTGGAGGATCGATGCGCAGGATGCGCGATGGTTCGAGACCCCACCCTCCATCCACCACATAGAGGCTGCCACCGAATGGCAATGCCGAGTACAAGTGCTTCATTTTCCAGCTCGTAGGAGTCCACTGCCGGTTACCGGTGGATGCATACACCACACGATCAAGGCTAGTCAATGCGAGCATCATGCTGACAGTGCCAACCAGATTGACGGAGACAGACGCGCGGACAAACCGGGTGTGTTGAATCTTGTTAAAGTCACTGATGAAGCACCCTAACTTGGCCAGCTGAAGGAGGATGGAGGAAAGAGGCGGGAACAAAATGACGTCGCCGGTAAAGGGGTGGAGGAGGCGGACGGCAGTGGTCATGTTGTGCCGCAGGAGATGGAGGCCGTCAGGGCAGTCAAGCACAGAGTGGTTTCTAACAGGATGAGGGATGGCTCGAGGGTCAGGCAGAGCTCAAGCGTTATATAACCAAGTACTACAAGTGTCTGTTTGGGGCTCTAGAGGAAGGGAACTTCACTCTAGATGAGACCCGAACAGATGACATTCCACAAGTCACAGAAGAAGAGAATGATATCATGAAGGCACCTTTCTCTGAAGAGGAGGTGCGAGCTGCGGTGTTCCAAATGGAACATAACAAAGCTCCAGGCCCTGATGGTTTCTCCACGGAGTTCTATCAGAATCTGGGATGTCATCAAGACTGACCTAATGGAGTTGTTCAATTTTTTTCATGCCGGCCAACTAGACCTATCTAGGCTTAATTTTGGCGAGATTGTTTTGTTGCCAAAGACTAAGGAGGCTGAACATATTCAACAGTTCAGACCAATCTGCCTCCTTAATGTTAGCTTCAAAATCTTCACCAAAGTTGCGACTAATAGGCTCAACGCAGTCGTCGATCATGTTGTTCAGCCATCCCAAACGGCTTTCATGCAAGGACGAAATATACTCGATGGATTAGTAATCCTTCATGAGACCGTCCATGAGATGCACCGGAAGAACATGAGTGGAGTAGTATTTAAAATTTATTTTGAAAAGGCATACGACAAAGTCAAATGGTCATTTCCCCAACAGACCCTAAGAATGAAAGGTTTCTCAGATAAATGGCGTGACTGGGTCCAAAATTTCATTGCTGGAGGTAGTGTGGCTATAAAAGTCAATGATGATGTAGGTCATTAATTACTTCCAGACGAAAAAGGGATTACGACAGGGTGACCCAGTGTCTCCAATGTTATTTAACATTGTCGCTGACATGTTGGCTACTTTGATCAAACGCGACAAACAAGATGGTCAAATTGCAGGAGTAGTGCCACATCTTGTGGATGGTGGACTCTCTGTCTTGTAATATGCCCATGATACAATTCTTTTTATGGAACATGAGCTAGATAAGGCTAAAAATATGAAACTATTGCTTTCAGCTTTTGAGCAAATGTCAGGTCTGAAAATTAACTTCCATAAAAGTGAATTGTTCTGTTTCGGAGAATCCTAGGAGGCGGTTGCACAATATGCCGACCTCGGTTGTGCACAATGCCAATTCCCGATTAAATATTTGGGAATTCCGATTCATTATCGGCTTCTCACTAATGCGGAGTGGAAACATGTTGAAGAGCGATTGGAGGGAAACGGTTGAGCAGTTGGAAAGGCAAGTTGCTCTCCTTTGAAGGGCGACTAGTTTTGATCAATTTTGTTCTCACAAACATGGTTCTCTACATGCTCTCATTTTCCCAAATTCCGAAAGGGGTTATGCAAAGACTGGATTACTTCAGATCCAGATTCTTTTGGCAAGGAGATAGTGAAAATAAAAAGTATAGGCTAACCAAATGGAGTGTGGTTTGTCGACCAAAAGACCAGGGAGGTTTAGGTGTTCAGGACCTCCAGGTTAAGAATGATGCCTTGCTCAGTAAATGGTTGTTCAAGCTACTTACTGAGGATGGTGTTTGGCAAACCCTGTTGTGCAATAAGTATCTAGCCAAAAAAGCGTTGTCCCAGGCATATTGGAAACCTGGTGACTCACATTTTTTGGTCTGGTCTGATGGCGGTAAAGAAACATCTATTCCACTTTGGATCATTTGCGATAAAGGACGGCCTCGAGATACATTTCTGGGAGGACGGGTGGCTAGGAAACACCACTCTTCAAGAATAGTATCCGGCCTTGTACCGAATTGTGCGTGATAAGAATGATACTCTTGCGCACGTGCTCAGCTCCTACCCGTCGAATGTATCATTTAGGAGGGATTTGATTGGTCTCCGCCTTGCGTCATGGCAACATCTTCTATCCCGTTTGGATTCGGTTAACTTGACACAAGGGAGGGATGTGTTTCGCTGGAACCTCACTACATCTGGATCCTACATAGTTGACTCTATGTACCGTGCACTCTCGCACTTAGAGGTTCCATTAAATAATAATAAACTAATATGGAAATCAAAGATGCCACTAAAAAAATAAGATTTTCATGTGGTATCTTTGGAGAGGAGTTGTGTTAACAAAAGACAACCTCGCTCGACGCAACTGGTAAGAAAGTAAGTGTAGCTTTTGTACTCATGACGAGACAATTAAACACCTCTTCTTTCAGTGCAAGTTCGCGCGTTCTATATGGTCAGTCATCCAAATAGCGTACAATTTGTATCCACCAACAAGTGCTCCAATATATATGGTCACTGGCTTGATGGAATACCAAATACTTTTAGTACGCTAATACGGGTGGGAGCGTCCGTCTTATTATGGTCACTTTGGCTATGTAAAAACGATTGTGTTTTTAATGGCAAAACCTCTTCTTCTATGCAGGTTATTTACCCTCGCTGTTCAAGGTTGTGTATATGCGGATGGAGCGGGTGGCCAGGGAGGTTTTTACCCAACATGGGTGACAACATAATCTCTGGATCGGTCCGGCTCCTCCGTCGACATTGGCATAGTTTTGGACTCATATGGCTTTACTGTTGCCAACTTGTCGCTTTTTATATATACTTTGCTAGACTCTTTGTTAAGGATATGTGCATCTTAGCTATGCAGAGGCTGGGTGTCGCTCATTATGCTTTGTATCCACTTGATGCTATATTATGAGTTAATAAAAACGCTCTTTATAAAAAAACAGAGTGGTTTTTGAAACAAGGGAGTCTGACACGAACGAAGGTACCGGTAGAGAGGTTGAAGAAGCGGACGTAACCAAGTAGTCCAGGGTGGCCCGGGTACAACCCGCCACCCTCTGGGAACATCATCCACTGACGTGACTGGAAGCACGGGTCGACCACGCCTCGACCGCGTGGGCAAGGAGTCATGACACGCCATCGTAAGCACACTGCACGAAACCGAATGTAGTCCAGCAGGTCGCTGGCAAGTACCCAACTGGCAATCAGCTCGAGCAGGTCTATGTGCAGTGACGCCCAGGTGGATTGGGCAGGATCAGCGAGGCGTCTGGATAGGCGACGGATGTTGCCGCCTTGGTGCAGAGAAGCGCCTAGCTCCACCTGATGCGTGGCCATTCTAGCTTTCACATTCCTCATTTCCTACAAAGAAAAGAAGCCTGTGAGTTGAGTGGGTTAGTTAGCATCTCTGATAAAGCAGTGTAGTTTGATACCCGAATAGAAGACTGCAAAATGTTTAGGCAAGCAACAGGATCACCCTGAGGGCTTCTCGTGACACCTAAGCGATTGATTACATTGTACTTCCTCTGTTTTAAAATTTACATTATTAGACTCATTATGAAATGTACTTTGATAAAGTAGATTTTTATTTGATATCATAGATTTTTACAGATTTTTCTGTAGACTTAATCAAACTTAAAAAAGTTTGACTTGGGAAAATCCTAGAAAGTAAATTATTTTGGAACGGATGGAGTACTTACATAGTTACAACAGAACTTTTTTTTCCAACGGAACTTGTAGGGATGCATCTTGGCTTATGTGTTGACGGGCTACACAATTTCACTTTTTTTTTGTGAAACTATCCCTCACAAGATTCACCACACCTATACTAGCTCTTCGTTAACACAGGTTGAACGATGTTGGACCATTCTGGTTTTCCTTTACTAATCGCTCGATCCTCTAGACTGGTAACTGATTTCATGTTGCAGATTCGCTCCCCATTTCCAAAACTGTTGGATGCCTAAATCTCTACCTAATATTAAAAGGAGGATTATTTCTCCACAAAATTTCGTTTATGGTGGGACCCACAAGATTTTTCGTCCTGTCCCTGTTCATTTCTAGCAAAAAGTACTACGCATAGAGCCGGCCCATCAGCAGATGAAAAAGTAAGAAGAAAGTATCGTTTTCCCCCTCAAATCCTGTCTGATGGACCGATTTCCCCCCAAAGTCTAAAACCGGATCAATCAGCCCCTAAACTCTCCAAAACCGGATCAATTCTCCCCCATGGTGGTTTTGCACCAGATTTAGGTGGTTTTGACTAGCCGCCGGTGACACCTCCGCCGCCTGACGAGCTTGCCTCCTCCGAGGTAATCCACCTGCACCTCCCCCCTCCCCCTCTTTATGCTCGGGCGCGAGCTCGGTGAGTGGCCGCCGATCGAGACTGCCGACATATGAGCTCGGTTGGTCAGGTCTGATTTGGTTCCGATGTCTGAGAATTTTTTGGTCGAATTGGGCAGGGCACATGTCCGCTCTCCGTCTGTGCAAGGGAGCCGTCCAGTCGCCGCCGGGGCACCGGTGCTGGTCGGGGTGCTCGAGGTCGAGGAACCTTGTCGCCGCCGCTGCTGCCGCGTCCTCCTGCGCTCCAAGAGGGGTCGCCACCGCCGCGTGCTGCCGGAACAAGCATCAGGGGAGCTTCCGCATGCGGATCGGCGCGATTCCTGGGACGCGACATGCGGATCGGCGAGGAGCAGAAATCCGAAGCGACGGCGAGGCGACTTGACTTGCCGCCCATGGAGGAGCCCCGCGGCGTCACGTGAGACTGCCTGTTGTCGGGGTTGGCATCGCAGGTAGGCCGCACGCCTCTGCACCGAGCTCACCATGGCCGGCACGGTCCTCACTCGCCATGGTCCGGACCGCGCCGCTCATTCATCTACGTGGACGCGTCCGCCCAGGACCACGGGGGGAAGTCGCCGTCAAGGACCATCGGGGATGGGGAGTGAGGCAACGAGCTCCTCTCCCGTGGGACACGCGTCATGGAGCTGCTGCTGACTCTTGCCGGCAGGGCCCCGCGTGTGTCGTGCTCGTGGCCGGCACTTGCCTTCGTCGTACTCATGGCGCCCATGCTGCTATTGCTGTTGCTCGTGGGGAGGAACGAGGAGCATGGGGTGGTGGTAGGGAGGAGCAAGGGGCGGCACCAGAGAGCTACAAGTGCGGCGGCGAGGAGCAGCAAGGGCCGGCGCCAAAGAGCAGCAAGGGCGGCTGCGAGCAGCAAAGAGACTAGTCAAAACCACCTAAATCTGGTGCAAAACCACCATGGAGGAGAATTGATCCGGTTTTGGAGAGTTTAGGGGCTGATTGATCCGGTTTTAGACTTTGGGGGGAAATCGGTCCATCAGACAGGATTTGAGAGGGAAAACGATACTTTCCTCAAAAAGTAATGTGCCGCAAGGACTCGAACCAAGGCTGGCACTCCCTGTAGACAGCCTAGATTGCTGGCCACTGGAATAAACAACATCCGGTGTATAATAAGAGCGCACTGTTATATATGTACGTTAAACATACGCATGTAAACGTGCATGTCTCGTGCACTCCATCAGCCTCAACTAAAGCTTAAAAAATGTATCCCAAAAGAAAAAAACTAGCCCCAACGAAAAAACATGTACGCATCTGCTCGCAGTAAAAAAAAGACACGCATACACATCTGCGTTGGACCAGCACAACCATGGCCCATGGCTGGCATGCATGCCGTCAACTGCTGGAAGATTAATCGGCCACGCATCATCATGTGCCCAACTCAAACAATTTTATTTCATCTCTACCATATATTACAAGTAATATGTGCACATAAATATGTATAACCCATCTCAAACCAAACATTAGTCTTTAATCGAATGGCTTCCTAATAAAGTTAGAAAAAGGATTTTACCCCGCAAAAAAAAAGTTAGAAAAAGGATTGGTTCTGATTTTCACGTGTAAGGTGGAGGATTATTTCTCTACTTTTTTTGTCATCGTTTTTTTGGTACATCCTTTTTATTGCGTTTCATCAATTCGTTACCGGTCTCATGTAGTTTTTGCTTCGTTTGGTATGTTCGTTGCTGGTCCCTCGAAAACAATAGCGAGCGTAGAGGGATTCAAACCATGGTTGTGAGGACTCACAAACCAAGTCATCCAACCAAGGCCTGCAGAAAAAGAGGGAGCTTAGACCGTCTCGCCATAGGTGGCATTCATTTACGGTCGGAAACCTCCATCATCTATGATTCCTTTCTACAAACCTCCTTCCTATATGTACATTGTGGACCACGGTTGCGGACGTGTTGCGCCATGGGCTGGAGCTCTAGCGGAAGGAGCGGGAGATGGGGCTACTATAGGCCGTGATCGGGGAAGATGGCAATGAGGATGATAAGATTGGGAAGGAGAGGATGGAGGAAAAGTCATGGGAACCGAGCCACCACAATCGATGGCATGTGCGGCACGCAGCGCGCCCCCACCGTGGCCTTGATCCCGCCGATCTGGTCACGCGTTAGCGCGTGTCTCCTGCCTTGAACCGTCATCCTATAGAACTTTGTCATCAATTGATCCACTGTTTTCGCCATCAACAACCATTGTCCCGCGACACAATTTCTTAACCGAGGCAACCTTGATTCTGAAAACTGGTATTTTCTCCATAGTGAAGCATGAACGTTGTGTTTATCGTGCCAGGGACAAGTGTTTTTCTTTCCCGTTGCAACGCACGGGCATGTTTGCTAGTTAGGAGAAAAGAACGCAGCGGAAGATTTCACTCACCAGATCGTTAGTTGCCGGTAGATCTGCGGGGAATCACCGGCTCGCCGCCGGTTGGACAGCAACCCCAGGGCCTATGCGCGGCCTGAGCGTGGGTCGTGGTTGCCGCCGCCGCCTTGGGGCGCCTTCGCCGCGACCGTGCCAGAAATGTGAGCGAGCCAGCTCTTTTTTCTTTTTCGAGAGAGGAAAGAGTCGTTTTTCCGCTCCAAGGCCGGGAGACGGGACCTCCTATCTGGGAAATTCCTATTTGCCGCTCTTTGCGGCAAAGTAGTCAAGGGAACGCACACAGGCACAACGTTAAAGCGAATCCGGTTTTGGGAACCTTCTAGGTGGTTCCCAGCCGGCTTTTTTCTAGTTTTGGGAACCTTCTAGGAGGTTCCTGAACCGGGTTTTTTATTTCCTGTTTTTTTACATTTTTGGTTCTTTTCTTTTCTTTTACTATTCTTTTTCTTCTTCTTTTTAATTTTCTCTTATCTTTTTCTGTTTTCTTTTCTTTGCCCTTTTCGTTTTTTTTCTTTTTCATGTTTCTTTTGTTTGAGAATTTCAAATGTTTATTCGGAATTTTATGACATGTTCTCGTTTTCAAAATTTGATCCCAACTTCAAACAAAATACAAGAATTTCAAAAAATGTTCCCATTTTCAAAAAATGTTCAAGAATTTTAAAAAATGTTCAACCTTTTAGAAAATGTTCCCATTTTCAAAAAATCATAAATTAAAAAAATGTTCTTGTTTCAAAAAAACTTTTGGAATTTCAAAAAATGTTTGCAGTTGCAATTTTGTTCTGAAATTCAAAAAATTTCGCGTTTCAAGAATTTCAGAAAATGTTCGTGGTTTCAAACTTTTTATTAGATGTCCCATGGAATGTTTCATTTTTCAAATTTTTGTTCACAGATTCAAAAAATGTTCACGGTTTCAAATTTTTGTTCGGAATTTCATGAAATGTTCCATTTTTAAAATATTTGTTCACAAATTCAAAAAATGTTCGCGGTATGAAAATTTGTTCGGAATTTCATAATCTGTTCACAACTTCAAAAAAGGTTCAAGTTTTAAAAAAACTTTCTGCAATTTCAATTTTTCTCGCATATGCAGAAAAATGTTCGTGTTTAGGAAAATTTGTGCAGAAATTCACAAACTTTTTGAAATATACACTTTCAATATAAATGTACACCTTTTTGTCAGATGATGACTATAGTATCTAATTATGGTTCAATATAGTGCATCAGTCTAGTTGTATAGTCATGCTATTATTAATGCGCGTTGTTCCATTCCAGGTCAGCTGGAGTGGCTACAAGCGCGCAATTGCAATCTGCTGGTCGCTAGTTCGACTCCTTGCATTGCGCTTGCCTCCATTTTTTGCTCCCTTTTTCTTTCCACAGAACAGCTCGATGGGCCTGCCTAGTCAGGCTGCCTCCTTGTGCGTGGCTGCGCCAATTTGACGCGAAGAGCGTCCAATAGGAGCTCCCTCCTATATGCCACATTCTGCGGCAGACTGGAGGGGCTTCGCACAGGGGGGTGCTTTGTTTGGGCCGGCCCACAAGTTATCTATATGTGAACAAACTTTTGAAAATCGGAACATTTTTTTTTATTTTTTTATCATTTATTTAGATAACATGATCAAAATTCAATTTTCCCGAACATT